CCCTCCCAGCCAGCTTCCCAAAGCTTGCCTGCTGCCCACCTCCCACCACCCCCACCCCCACCCCCACCACACACACCCTGCTGGGCGCTACAGAGTGAGCTAAGAAGATGGGTGGGGCCCTGGGTGTTTCCACAGCTTCCTGGAGGACACTGGGCTGGTCACCTGTGAGTAACACAACCTTTAATTACCTCGGGTCCAGCAGGGTTGGACTCAGAACTGTCCTTCTTGACCTGATCTGACTACTGCCTGCCTTAGGGGAGGGGGCAGGCAGGAGGGACAAAGTAGATGTGTGGTCTGGGGTGCCCCATCACTGATGCTGGCTCCAGGGGTGTTAGATGCAGGTCCCTATAACAGCTCTAACAAGGCTTTCACTAAATTCATTCTCAATCATTCATTCCTTAGGCAAGCTGGTCTGTGCTTAGCCCTTGACAATACCTATAGATATGACTGGAGGTATACAAAAGACCTCACCTCTGACCTCAAGGAGCTCCCAACCTAGAGAGGCAGACACAGTCCACAGATAAACACGTGAAGGAAAAGTCCTTGAGGACACATGGCAGAAAACAGAGGAGATATTCCCACATCCAGGGGAGAGAGTTCAGGGAGAAAGAACAGCATGAGAAAAGGGCCTATGGCAGGTGGGTGCATGGCCTGTTTGAGGAATAAGGAGGACAATGTGGCTGGTGGCATAAGCAATGAGGGTGAAAGTATGAGGCCTGGAATGGGGAGGTTAGAGGCAAGACAGGTTAGGGTCTGGGTGCACCAGGAGGAATGTTCTGCCCCCATCAGACAAACAACGAAAAGTTGATGGCACATCTTAAGTAGGAGCAGATGTGCACTGAGCAGAGAGTACCACGTGGACATGAGTAGGAGGAGTAGAAACAAGAGGTGGTGGGTTCAGGGCAGAGTCTGAGGGCAAGAGGGCTGGGACACTCCTGCTGCCTTGGAGAAAACTGGTGGGACTGTGGGTTCCACTACAGCTTTGATGGCTCACCAGTGCTCTAAACCAACCTCCCTAAGAGGTTTGACCTGGCCTCCCTGCACCCCCACCCAATCAGTCCCAGCTGGCCAGCCTACTGACTCAGGTGCTGGGGGTGTGGGGGCAGGAAGTCACAGAGGGCAGGGCTGGCTCCTCCAACAGGTCAAGCCAGTCTTCCTCGCCTCAAGCAGAGCTATCTGGGCAGCTCAGTCAGGCAGGAGCACCTGCCTGCCAAAGCACTGGCTAGGAAATGGGGTCATGGCACCAGCCCCAAGGGCTGGCCAACAGCTAGCTGGGGCCTGATCCCAGGCCTTATAAAGAGAGCCAAGCCAGTTCTGGGTCCAGAATGCAGAACAGAGCCCCTGCCTGGCAGAAGGCCAGAGGTACTGGCACAATTACCTCTCCCACTGCCATGGCACAGGGGGAGGACTGACATCTGGGCCTGCCACTGGAAAGGACTCTGACCGAGGTCCAGTTTAGAGCTCAGATCTGCCCCCTAGCCCTAGCCCAGGTCCCAGAAGATGCACAATGATGGTGGTACAGAGTGGGTCATGTGGGGGAAGGGTCAGTCCCTGATAATTCCATCAGCTCTCCCAATATTCCTACAATTAGCATAGGAATTACTGGGGAGTGTGTCTGGTAGGAAAAGCAGCTTCATTAGGTGTTCTCTGGTTCTCCCCACCAGCTCACCAATGTAGATATCCTGGCATTGCCACTAATCCAAAGCAGTCCAGGTTCCTTGGATCTGTCTCTGTCACCCAGGCTGGACAGTGGGGACCCCCATGGACCAAGCTCTGCCTCATACTCCTTAGCTCCCTCCCTTAAAGAAGCTTCAGGTAACCAGCTTCTAAAGGGAGGTGATGGCCCTGGCTGTTTTGGCCCAGCAATTAGAGTATCAGCCCATGAACCAAAGGGTTGCGGGTTTGATTGCTGGTCAAGGACACATACCTGGGTTGCAGGTTTGATCCCCTGCCCTGGTCAGGGTCATGTGGGAAGCAACCACTATTGTTAATTTTTTTTTCCTCTTAATTGACATTAGAGAGAAAGAGGAAGGGAGCAGGAGAGAGAGAAACATCAATGAGAGAGAACATTGACTGGCTGCCTCCTGCATGTCCCCCCACTGGGGATCAGGCCCACAACCTGGGCATGTGCCCTGACCAGGAATCGAACTGGTGACCTCCTGGTGCATGGGTCAATGTTCAACCACTGCGCTACACTGGCCAGGCAGGAGGCAACCAATTGATGTCTCTCTCTCTCCCCCTGTCCCCTCCCTTCTACTCTATCTAAAAACCAATGGATGCATGAACAATGGACATGGACAACAAAGCTGGGGACAGGGCAGGGAGGGAAGGGGAGGAGGCTATCAGTGGGGGGAAAAGGAGAAACATCTGTAACAAAAATAAATTAATTAAAAAATAATAAAATAAAAACCAATGGAGCCCTGGCCAGTTTGGCTCAGCGGTTGGAGCATCGGCCCGTGGACCAGAGTCCCGGGTTTGGTTCCCACCTGAGGCATGTGCCTCGGTTGCAGTTGGTTTCTGGCCTTGGTAGGGGTCGTGTGGGTGGTGACCACTTGATGTGTCTCTCTCACATTGATGTTTCTCTCTCTTCTTCACTCTCTCCCGCTCTATCTGGAGATAAATGCAAAAATGTCCTCAGGTGAAGATAAAAAAAATAATAAAATAAAAACCAATGGAAAAGTATCCTCAGGTGAGGATTAAAAATATAAATGCAAATAAAAATTAAAGGGAGGTGGTGTCTTGAAGCCATATAAGGAAAGGATGGACAAACTGGGGAGTGGTCTCTTGGAAGCTGCCCTTGAACCTCTGGGTGGATAAGAGCATGGCCTGTCTGAGTCCAGGGTGCAAGATCAGGGCAGGAGATGGACCATTTAGGCAGGTGGGGTCTCTCCATCATCAAGAACTGGCTATTGCCCGGCCAGTGTGGTTCAGTGGATTGAGCATCATCCCATGGACTGAGAAGTCCCCGTTCAATTCCCAGTCAGGGCACATACCCGGGTTGTGGGCTCGATCCCCAGTAGGAGGTGTGCAGGAGGCAGCCAATCGATGTTTTTCTCTCTCTCTCTAAAAAAATCAATAAAAACATATTTTTAAAAAAAGAGAACTGGCTGTAGAGGTAAGAGGCTTCGGGGCCTGTCTGGAAGACCTGTTCTCTGGGGAAAGTCAGGCTAAAGGTTCTCAGAGCAACCCTCCTTCCTACAGTATCTGTGGATACGCCTGAGGGTGTTAAGGGACACAGGACCCAAAGGCAGAGGCATAGAGACAGTCTAAACAGACCCAATGGTACTGACTGCAAACTCAAATGCTTGAGGAAACTGAATGAGTGAAGCAGCCTCATGTGAGACAACTGGGAGTGGTGGGGACTGGGGTGAACTGAGCCTGAGGCTTGGTCAGAGGGGGCAGCTGCCACTTGGCCTCAGCTGAGAGTTCCTGTTCAAGGCAAGCTGGGAAGTCCCGTTTTAATGTGAAACCACCGGATTTTAATGTTTGCAATTGCATCAAAGTTTTAAAAAGTCCCATACAAGCCAAATGAAACACACCCAAGGGCCAACTGTGGTCCAGGAACAGAGGTCCACAAGTTATGCTACACATCCACAAGTATCAAGATAAGCAAAGGATGCAGGTGTGGTGTCCAGACCCCTGCCTGTCCTGAAAAGGGGCCCTGTGGGGAAGAGGCCCTAAGGAGGCTAGGAGTTGAGAGGAGAAGTCTGGGAAGTGAGTGTAGCAGCTGAACCCTGCTTAGCTCATTAGCAAATGGACATGGAGACTATCCTGCCTTTTGGGGGTGATCAAGTCCTGCAAAGACCACCTGCACCCCCTTCCAGCTCCCCTTGGTGTGGCCCAGCCTCATGGGACAAGCCCTCCAGTGGGCCCTGAAATTCCATCTGGCACAGGCAAAGGCTCTGGCTGCAGGCTGGGCCAGAAGAGGAGGCGGGTGTCCCAGGGCCCTCTGGAGCTCAGGAGCTGAGCTGGGTCCCAAAGCTCTGAGGCATGCCTCTGACCACAAACATGTATGGGGAGGAGGGAAGAACCTTTTCCTGGAATACTCCAAGGAAGGGGATTTTTCTAAACTAGTCCAGCCCCTGGCACCGGTCCTTCCTGCCCTATCAAGGGCCACTGTCAGATTCACCCAGGCCCCACCCACTGACGGTGAGGCCCAACCTCCCACTCCATCCCAGTCCCCCACCCCCACATACACACTCTGGCTTTGGAGCTGCCTGTAACTGTGAGGCCTTGGGCAGATGGTCATTTCCCCTTCCTGTGTCTCAGTCCCTTCATCTAAAATGTGTGAAAGGTGGTCCAGGGATGCTCACAGCCCTGAAAGCTCTCATGGCTAAAGGACCACAGAACTCAGATTTGGTGTTAGATTTTGTACCTAGGAGGCCCTCAAAAGGGCTCTATAGGGCCTGCCCAGGAGTTTTTGAAATTGGGATTAGCTACCAACAATAGCACATTGAGAGATTTCACCTCAAAAAAATAAAATCCAGATTTCCAGTTTCTCTTGAAAAATCCAAAGCTCTGGCAGGCTAAGGCAGGTTGTGGAGGCTGAGTTCTTACAACTTCTCTTCCTCCCCTGCCTTTCCAGGTCTGCACAGGCTCTGGGGTCTGCTACTCAATTTTATGCCACCTGTCTGATGTGTCACAGCATCAGGGTTTGAGACTCTGTCTCACTGAAATCCGCTTGTTTGTACACGAAAAACAGGGACCTGCCCAGGGTCGTAAGGCAAACAAGCGGTAGAACCGCCTGGAGGGTTGCAGTCCTGATTCCAGACGGGGTGAGACAAGATCTCTCCGGCCCCCTAGGTCAGGGGGTGGCAGGGTGAAGGCCAAGACACCCAGCCAAAAGACCCTAGTTGAGGGGGCGGTGGGTCTCCCTTGGCCCCGGTGCGGCCCGGCCAATGGGGAGCGACCCCGCCCCCAGCCAGCGACAGCCCCTCCCCCCAGCCTTAAAGGCGTGATCCGCCTCCCGCGAGCTGACACCGCAGCCTGAGCCCGCGGCGGGGGTACGCGGACGCTGCCTCGGGACCCAGGAACCCTCCGCTCTGGCCGGCGGGGAAGGACTGAGGCCGCGGCCCGCCCCGCCCGGCTCCCGCTGCTTCTGTCTGGTGAGTGTCTGCCGCGCAGGGGGGGCTGCGGCCGGGGGGGGGGAGGGGGGGCGCCACCGTGGTGGGTTATGCACATGCGCTGATCCACCGCGCGCACCCGCACTCAGGGCGGGCCTGCGCCTTCAGCCCCACACCATCACCTGGGCCGACCCGGGCGCGGACAGTCCCGTGTCTGGGTGCGCGCGCGGATGTGTGTACACGGCTCACCGGCCATTCGGCGGGTCTGTGAGCAGACAAAATAAACACCCCCCTCCCTCGCTTCCTCCTCCCACGGCTGGGCTCTCCAGGATGACCAGTTTTATGAATCAAGTCCCTCTGAGGGGCTGGCCACGCCATAGTCTTGGGTTACTTTTACCTCTTAAAGTGGGACAGTCTGGTTCTGGGCCCCTGGTGCCCCTGTCACTCAGGACAGAGGTGGGGTGGAGTGAGGCACAGGTATGCAGCCCTAGGGAGGTGTAAGCGGGTGGCTGGCAGGTATTAATGCACCATTCCATCCCCCCACTCCCAACCCCCACCCCTGGTCTCCACTCCACCCCACTGCAGACCTTGAGTGCCTGGGGTACAGGTATTATCATCTCTGCCTCTTCCAGAGAAGGGGCTTTGCTTGGGCTTTGAACCCAATGGCCTGGAGCCAGCCTAGTCCTTTGTGCCCCAGGGCTGGCAGCGCTAGGGCCTGAAGGCTGCTGGGTTCCCCCTGTGGTCACTGGCAGATCAACTGATTGGTGCCAACCATTCTGTAACCAGGGTCCCTGACCACTTCTCCCCCTGGGACCTAGGGATGGAGTCCGAAAGGTGGGAAGGAGGAAAAGAAACCCTGACAGTCCCAGTGTCCCCCTGCTTGTCTTTTGCACTAAGGGCAGGTGAGGCTCTGGAGCAAGGTATCAGGGCCCACTGCCCCCTCTCCAGGCCAAGAGCTTCTGGGGGACTGGACTGTATCTCAAAGGACCCTTCCCAGTAGGCTGGACTTTTGGGTGTTGAAGGCATAAAGGGATGGCTAGGCGGGTAACCTCCTAGTAGGGTCCATTCAAACTGATCCAGCAGGTAGTGAAGTCCACTTAGGGTCCAGCTGTTAGCAAGGCCCAACAGTGCAAGTGGGTGGGGGGGATGGGAGAGTAGTCCCCTGAGTTTGCTGTCTTCTCCCAGGGGAATCAGGCCCCAGAGCTTCTGTAAACAGAGTGTCAGAGGCAGGAAGAGGGCTCTGGTAATGAGCAGCCCAGCTGGATCCCCTCCAGACCATTATTTGGCCTCTCCTGGGCCTAGGGAGGGACGAGTATACTCATGCCAGGCTGGGGGCCTGGGCATGGCCTGTCCCCACCACCCTGGCTTTGGGCTGCTGTAAACAGAAACAGCCACCCTGGGACCTGTGGGGTCCAGAGTCGCAGATGGGACTAGTGTGGGCTGGTGTTCCAGGACATTTGCTGGGATGGCCTCTCTCTAAACTGGAAATGGGAGAGTGATTTCAATACAAGAAGACCTTAGACATTGCTCATACCTCTACTTTCCCCAGGAAGGCCCTTCTGGCAGGCAGCGCCAGGGCCAAGGAGATACCCTGGGCAGGAGATGAGTCCAGTTTCTGGCTCCCATTCCTGACACCCCCCACTATAGCCCTGAGGTGGTTGGGACAAGCCCCAGGTAAAGAGAGTTGAGTCTTCATGGGGGCTTATAAATGGATCCTACCCTTGGGCTAGGCAGTTCCTGGGAACAGGGAAGTGGGGTTCCAGCTCGGCCCAGGAGGCAGCTTTCACCTCAGCAGGCCAGCCAGACAGTACCCCCTGGTGACCAGAGAAACATCCCTGACCACTGGCAAACCCTCAGCTCATGGGAAGGGCAGCAATGCCACCTAAATGGGTTAGTGACCCCTTCTGGAGCCCCCCTTAGCTCTCCTTAGTCTCCGCCCTGGGCTGGGGAGCCCAAGGTTCTGTCTGCACTGCCAAGAAAACCAGCTCCCCTCACTGCTGTGGAATTTGTGAGAGTTCTTGGAGAAGGGGGCGGGGGAGTGTGTGTGTGTGTGTGTGTGTGTGTGTGTGTGTGAACACAGTCCATTGGGTGTGTTTTGGGTGTGGGCGTGTGTCTGTGTGCGCGTGACTGGAGTAGGGCTATGTTTGGGGGTGGGCAGGGGTGCTGCGGGAGTCTGCATGCACCACGGGCGGGCGCAGGCTCAGCCTTCCTTTTATCGGTTTCCACATTCCAGAGTCAGCCGGATTGCTTTCTCTTAGCTGGCTGGGCCGCCTGGCCGGCCAGGCCTGCAGGCCTCCCCCGCTTTTCCTCATTCCAGCTTCCTGGGTATGAGGAAAGGCTGAAGCAGGCTCCCTTAGACCACCTCGGTTTAAGGGGTTGGGGACAGGCGAGGAGCCAGTTCTTCTCCACAGTTGGGGAAGGACCCCCCCACACCAGTCTCCTCCAGGGAAATGCAATAAGGCTCTGACATTCCTCTGAGGCTGCCTGAGAGATTTAATTAAGGAGGGAGAGAGCTGGCTAGCATTGAGAAGGGGCTGGGGCAGTCACTGGGGCCTGGATATGCAGCACTGAGAAGTAAGGGTGGGGGCAGGGTGGGGGCTCCCCATATCAATCTCACCTGCTTGCACATCAGCTGACAAGAAGGGCCACTTCTGCCACAGGGTTACCTACATTCCTGGGTATGGTGAGCATAAGGGCAAGACCTCCTTTGGGGCCACTTCCTTCTCAGACCCTGTCTAAGCCCCAGACAGCCTGGGCCCAGTTGGCTTGGGGCTGGTGGCCTCCTTTGGTGACTAAGGGCTTCCTCTGGCAAAGCCAGGGTTAATTGCAGGGTTAGGACCTTACTTGATGGGTGCTTGGCCCTGGGTGGGGACAGGGCAGTGAGGAGGCCCTGTGTCTGAACCCAGCCCTGGTGGCATCACACCCGCACGTGCCAGCTGTGGTATCTGGACTGGCCCATTTCTAGTTGGGCTGTAGCCACCACATAGCTCCCGGGTCAGCAGGTGTCTTCTCCCAACAGAGTGGCACCTCTCCTGACTAAGATGGCACACGCCCCACAGCCCCAAGGGCTCACTTGAAATGTGGATTGGCCTTAGTCACTTATCTTCCTGCCCTGGGCTGACAGGTCTGGTGGCTACCAAGTCACCCACAGTGCCACAGAAGGTCCCCACCTGGGGCTTGGCAGCCTTCTGCTCTTCTCCCACACCAGCTCAGGGATCTTGCCCTGACTGGGAGAAACAAACTGATGTCCAGACTGTCCCCCCTCTTTGCTGCCTCCTGTCCCAGGGTCTGAGCCCTGGCTGGAGGGGAGACTCACCCGAAGAGATTTTCCAAAACACAGCTCTGCCAGGCCTCACCCCAGACATTCTTATTTAGTTAGCCCGGGGGTGGGGCCCAGGCATCAGGAACTTTCCAAAGCTGCCAGGGTGATTATGATGTGTAGTTGGGGTTGAGAAGTCCTGTGGGTTCAAGGTGGGAGATGGAAGCCCAGAAAAGAAGGGAACTGGATGAGGTCACAAATTGAGTGTCAGGGTCCCCAACCTCTTTGCCCTGCTGGGCCAGAGACTGCTTTGTCCCAGTGATGGGGAGATGGGTGGGCCTGACTTGGGCCCTGAACCTCTTCAGACACGTCAGCGAAACTGGAGCCAGCTGTCCTGGCCGCCGGCACAGTCCCGCCTGCCTGGGGGGTTGGCAGACTCCTGGGCTGGGCTGCTGCCAGGCCTGGCCGGCAGTGCTTACTTAGCCCAGGCAGGCCAACACTGGGAGCCAGAGGCCCAGAGGCCCAGGGTCAGGCCTAAAGTACCCGACCCCTACATTCACTCTGTAGCATCGGGCACAAGAGGGGTTGTGCTGGCCTGTCCTTCCCCAGGATCAGTAAGATACTTCAACCTCAGATCTGATGCAGTCACCCAAATGTCCAGGTTTCACCCACTTGCCAGTTGCTGCCTGACTCAGGGCCTTTGTGTGAGCGGGTACCCCTATGTGTGTCCCACACTTGGGTGTGGGTGTGGGTGTGGGCACTCTGGATCCCCCTGAGAGCTTTGATGATAGATGTCCTTACTCATAGAGCCCTCACTCTGCTCCCCCCCCCCCCGCCACTGAGGTCATATGCTGAAGGAGGCTGGCCAGAGGATTGCTCACCCCTCTACCCCCTGCAAAACTAAAGGCCAGCCCCCCATCAGGCTGCTCTCCCACACCTATGGGTGGAGGTTGGGGGGCAGCCTCTACATGGAGGTCTCACCCTCAGTCCAGGGGGCCTCCTAGCTGTGCTGAAAGGGACCCAAAGCCCCTCTAACACTATGGCATCTGCCTCTGAGCAGACTCGGGTATTATGGATAACACCCTCAGTAGCTAATGTTGACTGACCACTCAGATGTGCTCCAAGTACAAACTAAACGGCCCTGAAAACTAGGCACTATTTCCAGCCCCCTAACTTCTCAGATGGGAACAGAGATGAAGGCCCATGGCCAGGCTAGCACAGAGCCAGGCTGCAAACACAGGCAGTCGGACCCTAAAGCACAATCCCAAAAACTTCCTTGGAGTTTGGCAAGGCCAGCAGCAGAGCCCAGGCCTCTTTGTCTGCTGCCTCTTTCCACCCAACCATGGCAGAGCCAGGCCAAGGCAAAGCTGTATTGAATCCAGGTGGAGAGATGTCTTGGACCATGTTACCTTCTTCCCTCCATCCCCCCACACCCCCAAATGCCAGGGCTGCCTCCAGAACTCTCCCCACACCCTTAGCAGAGAGAAAGGTCCCACCTCCCTCCCTCAGGTCAGTGGATCAGATATCAAAGCCCAGGGCCCTGGTTCTTCAGACTTGCTGAAATTGTAACTGGCTAGGCAAGGCAGCCATGACCCAACCCCTGCCACAAGACACCCCCACCCCCAATGCACACACACACCAGCATGAGCCCAAACAAGCAGAATCGCTTCCAGAACTTGTTAGAAGAACTTTCCCATTTGAAAACAAACAGAACACTGGGTGCTCAGAACAACTCTGGAAGGGTGAGGCAAGACTGCTGAGAAACTGAGGCCCACAGGTGGGAAGGGACTTGGGAAGCTATTTAGGGGCAGAACTTGGGCCCAAATTCAGGCCTCTGTCTCCTACCATCTGACACCTGTTGCCTGCCCCTCCACAGTCAGTCTTGGCCCTCTGAGGGGTTGTCTGATGTCTGATCTGCCCTTGGTGCGAGGCACCCTGTGACAGCGCCCCTGGAACCACCAGCCCCCACTTGCTGTTTTCCAAAGCCCCAGTGCTAACTCCTTGTTGGGTGATGATTCTGGGCTCAGGCCTAGGTGCTCACCCCTGCCTCCTAGGGAGTGGGAAACAGGTTAGCTGCCTGCTGGGTTCTCCTAGCTACTCAGCCAGATTGCCACTCTGGGTCCAGACAGGGCCATAGCAGTTCCTGCCTCCCTGCTCCATGATGACTTTATTGTGATTAAAGGGAGCAAAGCCCAGAGCCCATGCTGGTCCCCCTCCTCAATGCAGAATGGGGAACACCCCCAGCAGTGCCCCAGTCTTGGGAGGTGTATACTCTGAAATGTCCTGGGAGAAAGATAAAGAAATCTAGGGGCCGAGAGAGACCACTATCTACACCTTACAGCTCAGCTCTGACACCCCTGGCCCAGGATTGCCAGACTGGAGCATGAGTTCTAAATCATGACCTTATCCAAGTCCTTTGGGAAGCCAACATCACAGGGGTGGTCAGGCTGGCCACATGTAGGGTCCCCTCCCACACCAAGTCTGGCTGCTCCCTTCCTGACCCCAGCCTGTTCCACCAGAAGAGCTGATTCAGGGAGAGGTGGCTCACCCCACCCCCCATGAATATTGGGGGGGGGGACACTTATAGCCCACATCTGGAGACCAGGCTGAACTCTGAGTCAGTGAGGGTGGAGCAGGTCCTCATAGGGGAGGAGGCCGGGTGGGGTACACAGAGCCCCCTTGAGATGGCACTGGCAGGGCCAAGGGTGTATGAGACAGCCAGGAGTCTAGACAGCAAGAAGGAGGCACTGGCTAGGGGTCAGGGAAGGCATCCCTGGCTAGCTTCTGAAGGCCAGTTATCACTGTTAACTAGTAAGGTACAGAGGCTGATGGTCCCACTTCCCAAGCAGAGAGGACCCTACGGGGAGCAGGGTACCCAAACTGGGTGACAGGCCTTTACCTAGAACTGGCCTAAGACCACAGTAGCCTCCCCAGTGACTTGTCTAATCCAACCCAGGACCACCTGTCTGTCCTCCACCTTATATTCCAGGAGTCCACTTCCCTGGAGGAGGGACAGCCCAATGGATAGCAGTGGGGCATAAGGCACCCTGGATGGGGGGCCATGTTACCTGTCTTGGCCTGACAGCTGGCCAGTGTGGGGGAAGGGGAGGCTGAGCCCTAGCACAAAAGGCCCTTGTGTAAGCAGAGGTGCCTGGAAGGGAGGGGTGCTGGCCTCCCTGGGACTGTATACCAGTTCAGATTGTAAGGACTGTTGCCGGCATGGCCCCCAGGTTTTCCCCAGGAGCCTGAATGAAGGGGGGCCCATGCTGTGTGGCCCCGTCCTGCCTTGGGCAGGTCAAGCTACAAGCTAGAGCCTGGAGTGGCTGGGGGATCTGCCCCCCACCCCAGGAGGACTGGGCCCCCGCAGCAGGTCTAGCTACACATGGACCTACTTAAGGACCCGGGCTCTGGCTCAGATTTCTCAGTAGTGCAACGACAGCAAGCACTGCACCTCCAGGAGCCCCACCTTTTCTGTCCCCTGGAGTGATGAGAATAATTCCCACTCGGAATAGCTGCTGGCAGGACTACAAGAGGTGGCTGTGAATGCTCAGTGGCACTGGCACATGGGAAGGGCTGAAGCTCTGCTTCAGTGCCCAGTCTATAGTAGAACCCAAGAAATGGTAGATATAGGAATCTGGGGAGTGTTTCCAGGTTTGGCATTGCCTCTGGGGCCACCATGCAACCAGTGTCCCCCCTCACCTCTAGTTCTATCATTGTGCCTGCAGGGGGATGAAGGATATGAACCAGGGTTCCCTCCCTACACCCCTCCCCAGGGGGACACCTGCCAACTGCTCCAGCACCTCTGCACCCTTCCCTAGGAACTTCCCCACTGGCCACATCCTGGCTATCCCACTGCTCCCGTCCTGGGCAGGTCTGACTTCACAAGTGGAAAAACACCGATCCCATAGTTTCCATGTGAAGTCTTCCCACTGCGGTCTCTCCTCACTTGGAGGATGCAGAGCGTGGCGGCAGGGGCCGGTGGCCTGGGGCAGCCAGCTTCTCTGCTTACGCACTGGGCTCATTGCCCACCACTCTCTCCCAGAAGCTGTGGGGAGGGAGCCACCATTCTCTCTGCTTCCCTGTCCATCTCAGCAGAGATTTGGGGATGGAGGGTTGGAGGAAGGGCCAGAGCCTAATGCTTTTTGATCACATGTTCTCTCTGAGCCGCAGAAAAGTGGGAGGGCTGGGGTTAAGGTATAGGTGTCTTTTGTGGTCCTTGAGTGTTTAGGGGCTGGGCCCCATTCTGTGTGCATCAACCCACTGAACCCTGGTGACAGTGCAGGAAGTATCAACTGATAGCATAATGAGGTTATGTGACTGTACAAAGTCACATAGCAAGAGAATGATGGGGATGGGACAGGCAATGTATAGCTGACTCATAACTACAGTGTGCTATTGGATTTGGGGGCAGGGAGTGGTGAAGGGGGCTTGGAATTCCCTTCTCAGTCCTTCCTGGCATGGCTGTCTCCTGGGCCCCTGAATTCCCTTCTCAGTCCTTCCTGGCATGGCTGTCTCCTGGGCCCCTGACTCACAGTCTCCTGTCTTTCCTCTCTGCACCCAGGGACCAAAAGATGCACTCCAGGGTCCCCCTGTCCCTGTTGCTGCTGCTGCTGCTAGCCCCAGGGCCTGGGGTGCAGGGCTGCCCATCTGGCTGCCAGTGCAACCAGCCACAGACAGTCTTCTGCGCTGCCCGCCAGGGGACCATGGTGCCCAGAGACGTGCCGCCCGACACGGCAGGCCTGTACGTCTTCGACAACGGCATCACCACGCTCGATGCAGGCACTTTTGCCAACTTGCCGGGCCTGCAGCTCCTTGACCTGTCACAGAATCAAATCACCAGCCTGCCCAGTGGGGTCTTCCGGCCACTTGCCAACCTCAGCAACCTAGACCTAACTGCCAACAGGCTGCGTGAGATCACCAATGAGACCTTCCGCGGCCTGTGGCGTCTGGAGCGCCTCTACCTGGGCAAGAACCGAATCCACCACATCCAGCCTGGCGCCTTTGATGCACTTGACCGCCTCTTGGAGCTCAAACTACAAGATAATGAGCTTCGGGCACTGCCCCCGCTGCGCCTGCCGAGCCTGCTGCTGCTGGACCTCAGCCACAATAGCCTCCTGGCCCTAGAACCTGGCGCCCTGGACACCGCCAATGTGGAGGCGCTACGGCTGGCTGGCCTGGGGCTACGGCAACTGGATGAGGGGCTCTTTGGCCGCCTGCGCAACCTACATGACCTGGATGTGTCAGACAACCAGCTGGAGTATGTGCCACCTGCCATCCGGGGCCTACAGGGACTGACACGCCTGCGGCTGGCTGGCAACACCCGCATCGCCCAGCTGCGGCCTGAGGACCTGGCAGGCCTGGCAGCCCTGCAGGAGCTGGACCTGAGCAACTTGAGCCTGCAGGCCTTGCCACATGAACTTTCAGGCCTCTTCCCCCGCCTACGGCTCCTGGCAGCTGCCCGAAACCCTTTCAACTGCGTGTGCCCCCTGAGCTGGTTCAGCTCTTGGGTGCGGGAGAACCGCGTGGCACTGGCCAGCCCGGAGGAGACGCGCTGCCACTTCCCACCCAAGAATGCTGGCCAGATGCTCCTGGACCTTGACTACGCTGACTTTGGCTGCCCAGCCACCACCACCACAGCTACAGTGCCAACCACAAGGTCCTTGGCATGGGAACCCACACCTTCATCTTCCAACCCAGCTCCCACCTGGCAAAACCCCACGGACCCTGCTGCCAAAGCCCCAAGCCTGCCACCTGCCACACCACCCACTATGGGACCCGACCCCCAGCCCCAGGACTGCCCGGCGTCCATGTGCCTCAACGGGGGCACCTGTCATCTAGGGGCTCGGGGCTACCTAGCCTGCCAGTGCCCTGAAGGTTTCACTGGCCTGTACTGTGAGAGCCTGATGAGACAGGGGCTGCGGCCCTCCCCCACTCCAGCCACGCTGAGGCCTCCTGGACCCCTGCCCCTTGGGATTGAGCCAGTAAGCCCCACCTCCCTGAGGGTAGGGCTGCAGCGCTACCTGCAGGGCAGCACTGTGCAGCTCAGGAGCCTCCGCCTCACCTATCGCAACCTGTCAGGCCCCGACAAGCGGCCGGTAACACTGCGGCTGCCTGCCTCACTTGCTGAGTACACCGTCACGCAGCTTCAGCCCAATGCCACCTACTCCATCTGTGTCAGGCCCCTGGGGGTGGGGCGGGTACCTGAGGGTGAGGAGGCTTGTGGAGAGGCCCACACTCCCCCAGCTGTGCGCTCCAACCATGCCCCCGTCACACAGGCCCGAGAGGGCAATCTGCCACTTCTCATTGCACCTGCCCTGGCTGCCGTGCTCCTGGCTGCACTAGCTGCTGTAGGGGCAGCCTACTTTGTGCGGCGGGGGCGGGCCACAGCTGCTGCAGCTCAGGGCAAAGGGCAAGTAGGGTCAGGGCCCCTAGAGCTGGAGGGGGTGAAGGCCCCCTTAGAGCCAGGCCCCATGGCAAGTGAGGGTGGCGGGGAGGCCCCACCTGGTGGGCCCGAGTGTGAGGTACCACTCATGGGCTACCCAGGGCCTGCGCTCCAAGGGCCCCTTCCCACTAAGCCCTACATCTAAACTGGGAGTGATGGACTACTGGGCTGGGCTCTCAGCCCTGCTGGGACTGGCCATCACCTTCCTGCTGCCAGACCAAGAAGTTCTCAGATCCATATGACAAAGAGGACACATCAGGGCAGGGGGTGTGTGACTGCAGCAAGTCCCTGCCCCTCTCTGGACCTTGGTCTCCTCATCTAAGATGCTGGGACCCAGGTGAAGACCTCTAAGGACCCCCCAGAGCCCAAGTGCCTCTGAGGATGGGGTATCTGCCCTGTCCTCTGCAGTGTGCATCCTCTGGGGTGGGGCAGGGCAGGCAGGCAGGTTGTGCTGTGTGCTGGTAACACAGACCCAGGGCTGCCAGGCCCCCAAATCCAAGGAGACTGGGGGCCAGTGAAGGAAGCCCCCAGAAAAAGCAGAGGGAGAGCAGGGGATAAGGATGGGTGTGTAGCCCAGCTTTGGCCCCAGTGAGAGAACCAACAAATGAAACTGGAAAGAAAGACCCTTTAGGAACAAGTTTTGCTTTTGTTTTTTTAAATATATTTATGAGAGATCCTTTCCCATTTATTCTGGGAAAATGTTTTTCAAACTCAGAGACAAGGACTTTGGTTTTTGTAAGACAAACGATGATATGAAGGCCTTTTATAAGAAAAATAAAAGATAAAATAAAATGAGTGTTTTTCTAGCAAGGCCCCAAGGGCTCCTGGGCTGGGTGGGTATAAAGAGACAGCCTTCTCTGTGGGGAACTGGGGACCAGAACCCCTCTCCCCAGTGGACACCAAGCCCTCGCCAGCATCCCCTGGGCTTGGGAGGGTTTCTGCTGAGGGCCATGGTGGGAAAGGTGGCATTCCCACGAGTCCTGTCCTGGCTATGTCCACCCAGCCTCCACTGAGGTGCCCAGTCCAGCCTTCCAGTGCAGGGACAGAAGCTGGGCAGCTTCCAAGCTCAGCAAAGAGTAATAGTTACGGCAGCCTTAACCTACCCAGGCTCAGGAGGTATACTGCTCCTATAAGAGGCTTATGGCAAATACATGCCAAGAGGGTCCCCAAAGGTCCCTTCTCAGGGATGGGTCTGACAGGAAGGATGCCTGCCTTCCTATGTGGAGGGGGTGCCTCAAGCTATGTCCTGCCAGGCCTTCATGGATGGTGTAGGGCCAGGTTGCACACACAGCCCACCCTCCCTGCAGTCCCCTTTGCACCTCTGCATGGGCTCCTACTCCAGCTGCAGAGAAGGGGCCTTAGTCAAGGGCAGCACAGATCCTAAATGGCAGGAGCCCTGTGGGTAGGAGGCTGCAAAAGACTGTTAGGGCTCAGGAACAGGATCAGAGATCTGAGTCTGGCCTGTGGAGACCCAGTGGCCCTGTGATGCTCCTTTACTCTCTGCAGTTGGGATATGCCTGCCTTTCCAAAACCCCAGAAGTGGGAGTGTTTTCCAGGAAGACCACAGGCAGGGGCATGGCCAGGGGTGGTGTTGGGAGCTTGGGGACAGTAATGGATACAGAGCACCTTTTCCTAGTACCTTTCAGATGGTGGACCCTGGGGCGGCAGGGAGGCCCTGCAGATTCTGGAGCAAACCTCCCCGAGGCCCCATGCCTATGTCCTTCTGTGGGTTACCACCCCCTGGCAAAAAGGAGGCAGCTCAGTCAGGCCTGGGGAATAGGCCCTGCGACTTGGGGCATTGATGTCAGCACTGAGTCAGGCCCAGCCACACGAGGATCTGGATTCAATTAACGGCTGCTGAGAGTTCTGGTATGAGAAGGGAGGAGGTGAGCAATGGGTCATGAGGGCAGAGGGTGGTGGCAGTGGGCCTGGGTGGGGCTCCATCTTCCTGAGCTAGCAGCCCAGGTGGATTTCCTGTGGGCCTGGGTCTCATTACTGAAACGGCTACATTGAGGCCTGTCCCTCCACCTCGGCAGCCCTGTCAAAGGGGCTATTGTGGGCCCATGGGCTGCCGCTGAACACGGTGGCTGCTGAATAAATGTTTTCCCTGCAAAGCCAAACCTGGCCTCATGAGCCAGCAGGGGGTGCGTGGGACCTAAAGAAAGGGGGCTTATGTGAGCCTTTCCAGAAAAAGCTCTTGGGGTGTCCCATCAGATCAGGGGCTGGGGGATGAATGAAGAGAGGGCCAGGGGTTGAGTGGGTGGGGCCAAGCCAAGATGCAGCATCTACTCAAGGCGATCCCAACAGCTCCAGGTCAGGACCAGGGGTGGATGTGGAGAAATGCCAGCACCCCCCTTGTTGGGTCCTTGCTGCCACAGGCCCTGTGCCACATGGGCTTATACACATTCCCATTTCATGTCCAACAACCTGTCTATAGGGAAACAGCTGGGAGAGAAGAAACAGCAGCTTGCTTACAGCAGGCAGGGACAGGTCCCAACACCCAACACCCACTCCCTTGGCCCAGGAGGGCACTGTGAGCCATGGGGGAGGGCTTGGGTCTCCAGGAGAGGGATAGGCGCCACTGTGAACAAAAGCTACTCAGGCGGGGAGGGGGCACACAATCTCTAAGGAACATGCTGGGTATGGGATCTGTGGACAAAAAAGGGGCCACATACTAAACCTGACAAGCTCAGAAAAGGCCTGCATTGTGGGCCTTATAAACTCAAATACTAAAAGTAGCCACACAGGATGGTCTGACCATAAAAATTCCTAGCTAAAAGCGAATCATAGCGGGTAGTCATGCCCTGTCTTTGCATCTAAGATAACACCTTTGGAATGTCAGAGTAACCTCCTTTTCCAGATCCCTCAGGGCACACCCATGGCACCAGAGCAGAGATCCCAGAACCTCTCTCACTGCTGCTGGGGTGATCTCAACAGAGGACTCTCTTCTCTGGCCTCAGATGTCTCTTCAGTAACATGGGGTGGGGGAATCCCTACCTGCCTATGGCCCTGGCACCTGACCATTTGCCCAGCTCAGAAGCACCAAACCTGAGACAGGTTGTGTTTTTGTTTCTCTTGGATGGAGCACAAGCTGCTCCTACATCACCAGACCCGACTGGGCCACCGTCCACCCCCACCCCCGCATCCTACACCAAGCATGGGGCCTGACACACAGGAAGTACAGGGCAGCCATCTATGGACCTGCTGTCTGAGTCTGGCTTTGCAGATAGGACCCCAGTGTCCTGCTCTTCCCACCATGATGCATCTCCTCTTAATGAGGTGAACTCCACAAATGACAGAGATGACAAAGAGGTAGGCATAGGTGGGGGCTGAGACAGAGGTCCCTGGGAGGGTAGGGCCCTGGGTTCTCCCTGGGAGACTGGGAGGGCTATGTGCCTGACCCCTGGCCCCTTCTAGCTCTCATAAGAACACACAGTGTTCTGCCTAAATTAAGATGGAAAACAGAGAAGAAATCGAGGGGGTGCAGTGGAGGCCCATGGCCATGCCCACCCATACACTTTTCATCTTCAGTCCAGTTCTTTCAGCAGCTCCCACACACCAGGGGGCCAGTATAGGGTTCTGGCTTCCAGGGAACCTGGGGGGCAGGGGACCTGCTACCTCTCAGGCCAGCCTGGAGGTTGGCATGCATCCCTGTCACCCATCAGCTTTGTAGAAGGCTGGAGAGTCTCCATTCCTCTGCTAAGGGTGTGGGCCTGGTGTCCAGGCAGGGGCCAGGACTGGGGGATGGAAGGGGCAGGACACTGGCGTGGCTAGCCCATCTGGGAGTGATTTGAGAAATTCCAGGCCTCACTGGCCCTACAAGGCTATTCTTAACTGCTGTAATTACAGGGTCAGCCTTGGCCAGTGAAACTGTGGGGTCTGGGCATCAGTTAACTCCTCCAGGGGCCATGCTGGGGCTGCTCTTCAAGGGGAGCAGGACCCCTCATAGGCCAGTGGTGGAACCTGAAAGGCAGGAAGTGGTGGGTGGGGAGTATTTGATGGCTACTTCTGGGTCCCTTTTCCAGGTTGACCAACTCGCTCCCTCTGTTAGAGGGCCCTGTAAGGAAGGGACTGTCTGGCCAGGGGAGGCATAGAGGACAAGATACCAGCACATCTGCACCAAGGGAGGGGGTGCTGGATATGGAGCCAAGACCGCAGGGAGTTCCACTTCCTCCAACACATGTGGGTCCTAGTGACTCCCCTGAATCCCCAGGGCCCAGAATGAGCAAAAGCCTCACACCCAACTGTAATTCTGAGGAAGGCCCTGGAACTTGCTCAGCCTTACCTTCCTCATTTGCAAAATGGAATTCACCAGCTCCCCAGCCTCTGTAGGGGCTGTGAGGGAGGATGGGAGTGAAGGATCAATGCTACCCTGACCTTTACCCCTTCTCCTAACAGTTCTTATGGCACTTAGCTTTCCCCACCCCCAGACACAGCCCCTGCTGCTCCTGGAACTTGGAGAGGTCATAGCACCCTCTGTGACTCAGTTTCCCCCGTTGTGAAACAGAAGAGGAAGCGGCTGATAGGCTGTCCAAGGACCAAGGTGCTCTCTTTGCTCTGACCTTTGCATGTACCTGCCTGAGGGTCCCAGCAAGTACCTCTAAGAGTCATAGCTGAGCAAGGCTAAGGCTTTGGGACAGGGGCCAAGTCCCCCATCTCCTCCCATACTAGCTAAGCTGGTCCCCCACTCTCCCAAGCCTTTCTCCTCAGTCGTGACATGGAGTCCACATGGACTGAAGGGACAGGTCACTCCTCAACACTTACTGTGCCGCAGTGATCCTGGGCCATCTCTGCAGAGAGCCAGCTCAGCCCTGAGCCCCACGGGCACCACCACAATCCTCCTGCACACTTCTGGGGAGGATGGAAGGATGAGGTGCATTTGCATACCAGGAACCCCTCACCAAGGACAAGAAGAGATGGGCATGTAGCCAGGGCTGAGGAGGCCTCATAGAGCCCACAAGTTCAAGGCCGGCCTCCCTCTGCTACTTGTGTTTCCAAACCTGCCGGCCCATCTGTCCTCATGTCACCCCACATCCACCCCAAGTCTACCTTGCTATCGTAGCCTCAGGTCTCCTCAGCACCACCAAAATGCCCACAGCAAAATCAAGTGCATTCTTGAGCTGGCCACACATACGCCTGCCAGGTGACAGTCCCCTCCCCAAATACCAAAATATACCAACCTGAGTCCCCG